CCCAGGTGGATCTCGAACCCGCAGGCTCAGGCAATTCACTCACCTCAGCCTCCCAAAGTGCTGGGATTACAGGCTGAGCCACCGAGCCCGGCCTAAATTATTTTTTTTAAAGTGAAAACAAACAAGGCAATTCTGAAAACTCCTATAAGGAAACATAGGACTTTGTGACCTTGGTTAGGGAATGATTTTTTAGATATGACACCAAAAGCACAAGCAACAAAAGAAAAGTAGATAAATCATACTTCATCAAAACTAAAGGCCGGGCTTGGTGGCTCAGCTTGTAATCCCAGAACTTTGGGAGGCCGAGGTGAAAGGATTGCCTGAGCCCGGGAATTTGAGACCAGCCTGGGCAACTTTGTGAGACCTTGTCTCTACAATAAACCACAGAAACTAACCAGGCGTAGTGGCATGAGTCTCTAGTTCCAGCTTCTTGGAAGGCTGAGGCAGAAGGATCGCCTAAGCCTGGCAAGTCAAGGCTGCAGTGACCATGAGTGTGCCACTGCACTCCAGCCTGGGCAACAAGAGCGAGACTCCAACTCAAAAAAAATAAGTAAAATGATACCCCACAGAATGAGAGAAAAATTAGCAAACTATATACCTAATGGAATTGCATCCAGAATATATAAATAACTCTTACAATTCAACAATAAGCAGACAAATAATTCAGCTTACAAATGGGAAAAAGACTTGAACACACTTTTATATTTTTTTTATTTTTAATTTTTTAATTTTTTTTTTGGTGTCAGAGTCTCACTCTGTCGCCCATGCTGGAGTGCAGTGGCACACTCATGGCCACCGCAGCCTCAACCTGCAGGGTTCAGATGATCCTTCTGCTTTAGTCTTCCAAGTAACTGGAACTACAGGCGCATGCCACCACGCCTGGCCAATTTTTTTGATTTATTGTAGAGATGAGGGCTTACCAAGTTGCCCAGGCTGGTCTTGAACCCCTAATCTGAGGCAATCCTCTCGCTTCAGACTCCCAAAGTGCTGGGATTACAGGCTTGAGCCACCGTACCTAGCCAACATTTTTTTCAAAGAAGATATACAAATGACAATAAACTCCTGAAAAGATGCTTGACATCATTAGTCCCCAGGGGAATGCATACCAAAACCACAGTGAAAAGTTACTTCAAGCCGGCTCGGTGGCTCAGCCTGTAATCCCGTGCCTTGGGAGGCTAAGGTGAGTGGATTGCCTGAGTCCGCGGGTTCGAGACCCGCCAGGGCAACTTGGTGAGACCTCATCTCTACAATAAATCAAA